CGGTTGTCCCAAAGGTCTTTTTTTTCAGGAGGCAACTGGACTTTCTTGTTTTTTTCTTTTGAAGACATTTTGCTTCTCATCCAAGAAGCTTCTTCAGCTCTGACTGGATGGTGGGGAATGGAAGGATTGATATTCCTTGGAGACAGCTGGTCATTTGCATCCTTTTAGATAATCGTTGAGGCTACTTGGAGATTTATCTGTGCCCTCAGGGTCACCTGAGTTGGTGCTCCTGGTTCCTTTAGCCTGCAATTTTATATGCCCAGCTGTCTACAAGGAATATCAATCCTTCCATTCCCCACCATCCAGTCAGAGCTGAAGAAGCTTCTTGGATGAGAAGTGAAACATCTTCAAAGAAAAAAACAACAAGAAAGTCCAGTTGCTTCCTGAAAAAGCACCTTTGGGACAACCGTGACCTGGAGGACTGAGAATCTCTACAGACTTTCAGCTATGCAATTTGGGATGAAGACCCTTGGAATGGAGTGGGAGGAGGAATGGATTTCCAGAGAGAAAATTTGCAGACTACAGGAACCATTTGCACCACTCAGGTGACCCTGAGGACACAGGTGAACCTCCAAGTGGCCTCAATGACCCTCTGAAAGGATGCAAAGGACCAGCTGTCTGCAAGGAGTATCAATCCTTCCATTCCCCACCATCCTTACAGAGCTGAAGAAGATTCTGGGATGAGAAGGGAAACGTCTTCAGAAGAAAAAACAAGAAAGTCCAGTTGCCTCCTGAAAAAAGCCCCTTTGGGACAACTATATACTGTAGCTGAACTTACAGCTTTCCAGATGTTGCCAACAGCAACTCCACAATAGTCCTGATGTTTCACTACAATCAACCGAGTAGGTAGAAACTCACCTTTTTTCTTATCAGGCTGATAACCTCCTTCGTCCACGATTCCCATCAGGTCATCATCCGAAATCCCTGAGGAGGTCCAAGTAAAATCCGCTTACTTAAAATCCCACATTAGTTTTAACCACTCTTTCATCAAACTTACCCCCCCCCCACTCCTTTTTTTTTTTTAGCCAGGAGTAAAAGGACTGCATTCAAGAAGAAAAATGATTCTTAGATGTTTGCGTAGGGGGTTAGTAAAGGAGTTATTGGCTGGAACAAAAGTTATAAAAGTGATTGATGTGATGTTATTTGTTATCTAATCTAAATCCAGAAGTGCAAAAGAATAGATTTGTTTAAAAAGTGAAATGTTTGAACCCCAGAATGTTTATTGTTTCATTTTCACTCTTTGTAGGATCTGGCTCAAGGCACATTTCATATAATTGAAGATGCTTCTTTAGAGCAGAGCAGAGCAGAATAGAATATAGAATACAGTAGTGTAGAGTAGAGATAGAATAGTTGGAAGAGACCTTGAGGTCTTCTAGTCCAACCCCTTGCTCAAGCGGGAAACCCTGAGCCATTTCAGACAAATGGTTATCCAATCTCTTCTCAAAAACCTCTGGTGATGGAGCACCAACAACTTCTGGAGATAAATCGTTCCACTGATTAATTGTTCTAACTGTCAAGAAATTTCTCCTTAGTTCTAAGTTGCTTCTCTCTCCTTGATTAGTTTCCACCCATTGCTTCTTCTCCTGCCCTCAGGTCCTTTGGAGAATAGCTGGACCCCCTCCTCTCTGTGGCAGCCCCTCAGATATTGGAACATTGCTATCATGTCTCTCCTGGTCCTTCTCTTCACTAGATTAGTCATGCCCAGTTCCTGCAACCGTTCTTCATATGTTTTGGCCTCCAGTCCCCTAATCATCTTTAATAGAATAGAATAGAATAGCAGAGTTGGAAGGGACCTTGGAGGTCTTCTAGTCCAACCACCTGCCCAGGCAGGAAACCCTACATCACTTCAGACAAATGGCTATCCAACATCTTCGTAAAGACTTCCAGTGTTGGGGCATTCACAACTTCTGGAGGCAACT